AAAAAAAGAAATACTAATTACTTGAGCTATTTATTCCCCTTAGGTATGTTAGGGGCCCTCACCAAAAGCCAGAAGAAATGTAAATGAAGAGATAATTCTTGTCAAGCCTTCTGTTCATTGTGCCAGGAAAGAAGGGCAAATTCCTTTTGCTGTGCTACCTTCTAAAAGTGTCATCCCTTACTGATACATACTGGGAGCACAGTAACTACTTGACTATGCCTCAGTCTACAGCTCCCACTACTGCAAGCTAAAATGAACTAGTAACCATGTTTTGAGACACACAACCAGTGGAAGCTGAAAACCTTTGAGGGGCTTTGCACTCTGAAGACACGTTTGTGTAGACACCATCTGCATCGATTTCTCAACTACTACAAAAGAAATAGTATCTAATACCCTTATAATAAAACACTCTCTAAAAAAATCTTGAAAAAACCCAGGACTTTATCTGTGCTACTTACAAAGTAATTCAAAGTGGAAGATGCAACGTGTGTTCAAAATTTCCTTCTCTTCATTATGCAGAACAATTCAAGGACTGAATCTTCTGTGTTAATAAAATCCAGACTACATATATTGACCTATTTTTCTCAAGATTCTCTTACTTTGACTGCAGAGAACACAACAGGGAGCTGGTATTCTCTGGAATCAGTTTGTGATTTCTGTCAGATTTCTGTTGTCATTTCTGGTTTATCAGCATTAGAATCACTAGTTTGACCCAAAACAGGTGCAGAAATTCTTAAGTCTATATCTAAATCCCATTTACTACTTCCTGTGCATAAAAAGGCAAGAAACAATTAAAAGAAAATAACAGAAAATAAGCTCTGAATGTTAAATACAAAAAAGACAAAATTTCAGGCAAATAAGTTCTCCTTCAGGCACACAAGTTCAAGGTGGTGGAAGGAATTAATTAGTGGAACACTGAAACATAAAAGTTAATCACACAGTGAGCAGAAAAACACGCTTAATTGAACTTAATTCCTTCCATCCTATACAGCGTATGTGTAAAAGACTCAAAGATCAACAGCTACATTACATAAATACTTCTTCTCCCAGCTTTTGTTTTACAAGTGCTGGCTTGTTCCTTTTCTTCCCCATTCTTTAAGGATCAGGGATTATGCCAAGAAACCATAGAAATTGTGATTACAAAAAACTGGTAAGCTGAAACTCAGAACAAATTATGTGCATGTAAAAATGTACACTATGTGCATGTCTGAAGAACAAATGCACCCAAATATTCTCAGTGCTATCTTAACTGTGGCAAGTGCAATACACAGACATCTCTCTGCCTGCGTGCAGAATATGCACTGGCCTGGAGGCTCATTAAAAAAAAAAAAAAGCACCAAACAGGATCTGTAAAGAGTCTCCAGGAACTGCAGAGGGCAGTGGTATGGAATGGGTTATACCAGAGCTGCTCTCATTCAGCAGCGTTGCTTGTTTTACCAATATGTGGTGGATAGAGGAATAGAAAGAAGTGATCTTGATGTCATTATCAGTGGAAATGTTACTTTCAGATCACAGTTTTCCTACAGAAAAACAAGATGCAACAAATATGCATGATCAAAACACCATTCTTTCAAAACACAGAGCAATAGCCGCTGCTTGCAGTGCATCCTTTTTACTATGATGAGAGCTGGAAAATCCAAACCAGTTAAGACAGTTTCTCTCTGTAATATTAACCATCCTCCAGAAAACAAATCACTGTTAAACAGCTTAAAATCCAAATGCACCTTACAGAATGTGCTAATCACTGGCCACTCTGCTATAATTAAGTGAAGCAAGAGCTTCCCCTGAGTTTTGGAATCAGTTCCCTGCTCAGCTGCTACGTTGTCAACAGCTGGCATGAATTACAGGGAACATTTGGCTAACTGGATAATAAGGAGAACAGCCTGTGGTTGGTCCAAATTCTACTTCACCGATCTGCTTCAATCAAAAAAAAAATCTCATTACATCCTCCTGGTGTTTTTGTTGTTGTTGTTGTTGTTCTTTTTTTTTTTTCTTTCTTTCTTTTTTTTTTTTTTTTTAAGTAATACCAATTCTACAAAAATTGGGTTTTCTGTTTTATTCCCTCATTATGTGCAAACAATGTAACTGTACAGCTCAGATGTTGCATGACCTAGTGTAACTGAAGCTACAATTCTCTATAATTTAATAACACTGTTTGCAACACTCACTCATTCTCACTCATATCACATCCTTCTCTGCTGGTCTGGTAAAGGTTTGTTACTCTGCTTTTCTGTTTGCTAGCAATTCATCAGCACACATGACCAGAACAAAGCCCCAACCTCTGCTCCCACGTAGCTTATGGCAGAGCAAGTATTTGCGAGACCAAGCTTTCTCCAAACAATAGATTTGTTATGAGGTAAAGACAAATTATATTACTATAGATCAACACAACCAAATGCCACCCTTCATTACTCTGCTACATTATTTGATTTGTGCCCATGCAGCCATCAAATTCTTTCCAGAAAACAATGTAGGAACCAAGTTCAAGTGCAGCAACATGCTTGAAAGCAGTTCTGTGCATGGGTTCTAATGGGTCCAAGCTCCAGAGGTATCCTTGCTGTGGAGAGATTTACTAGGTGGTCTTTCTCTGTTCCTTAAAATCAGTGACAGGGAATCTAAAGAAAATAGTTCTTCAGATTACACCGAAGTCCCTAGAGAACTGTTCAAATCAAGAACAAGTCTGATATAAAGCAATTACCCTACTACTGTCAAGCGTTAACAAAATTCCCATGTTTTTAGGTAAACTCTGCAAGCATGTTACGTAGTCTGAGCATGCTGTTATAAATGCCCTTGAAAAATATTGGATTATCCACTGCCTCTCTTTCCAAGAACAAACATTTGAAGTGCAGGATTTTTTGTCCACTTTGATCAAAACAGCTCTGTAACTTTCAAGTTAGGAGAGGATTAGTCTAATGAAATATCACAGCTAAAGTTGGAAACAAAGAAGCTGATTTTTATTTCAAAATTTTCACTAAGACCATTCTCAGATGTCTTACATGAACCCTAACAAGAATCATGTTAGTAACAACATCCAGTAGTTCAGTGCTATGTTAACAAACACTTCTGTCATGAGCTACCTAACAGATGTTGCTGAAAGGCTTTTTAATTCAGAAGGGCTTATTCCATAAAGTTATCTAATGTGTTTCAGTATCTCACATTTGTATTATGTTGTATTTGGTTGGAACAAAAGGAAACACAGAACAGTACTAGAACTCGCATATCATCACTGTTACTGTGAGGGCCATCACTTGTGCATCATTCTTCGCAGAGAAAGCAATCTAAGCAAAGGTCAAGACAGCAGGATAAATGTGGCCACTTTCTACATTTCAATCATGCCATTCAAAAGTAAGTCACCTTTTGAAAGGCAGTTAATCCTTGCTGTAGGGGCTAGAATTTAATAGAAGGCAACTGGGGAAGGTAAAAATTATAAAGAGCTTTTAGATTCTTCCAGCCTGCTATACCCACATACTGCTAACAGTGATTTCTGAGATAATTTGGACTACAACACTATAGAAGAATAATGTGTAATGCTGAGGGAAGAGAAGAAAAAAACAATACACACTTTAGAAAAAGTGCATTTTCCAAGTGATGTGCTTTGTAACTTAAAACCACTTAAAAAAAACAACAAAACTTGATGAGTCACCTCTTCAAAAAAACAATCTCAAATTTAGAAGAGATGGTAAAGGAAAAGAAATCTTAAATGTTACAGCTAATTTAGTACTTGAGTCTCAGAAACGTCCCTACGATTTACAAAGACAATGATACCACAGCACAGGGCTTCCTAAACAGAACTTCACAATGACCAACTTCTCTCTTTTAGGAACCACTGACGAGAAGTGTTCAACAAACTTGAGATAGGGCTCAATATACTCTGCCATTATTCTCCTCCAAAATTACTCAGTTGGAACAAGAAAAGGAAACCAAAAACAGTTTTGTTAAGACACTTCACAATTGCTCTATTACAGGAAAATACAGGCACCAGAAACACAAGAGAAAAGGCTCACATGACAGAATCTGAACTCCTTTCCAGCTTCTCCTCTTACCAGAGGCAGCGGACGCCTTTACCTCAACAAGGCCCATCCCATAACAAAGAAACAAAAGGAAAACCATCAGCAGTGGTTTGTGAGAAAGCATCATACTGGATAATTTCTGTAGAAGGTTCTGCTAACAATGTAAAGGAAGATGCCTCCTTCTCCCTTTTTGCTTTTCACTTCAGAAAAGAATCAAGGCGGGTTTGTGTTCTTTTGAGATAAAGAGAGACAAAAGCAGGAAATGCTCTCCTCCTTCCTTTATCCCAAGAACTTCTTAATGAAAGGTCAAGTATAGCCATCAATCATGATAAGGAAGAGGGACCAAAGAGATGACCTTCTTTGAGGGGAAACAAGTACATATCAGATAGCACTTATGCACTGATATAGTCCTCCTATGACCATGCGAGACAAAAGAGAACAGTTTCATGCCCACATTAAAAAGAAAAGTGAAAATTAAGCACTAGAGATAAGCTCTGGGATGTCTGATTTTCTACCATTATGTCAGACAGATGCAGTCAAGCAAAAGCTCACTTCCAAAATTTGTCAGGAACACAATTGAACGCTACCCCTCACTGCTTCTGCAGTTTGGCAGCCCAGATTAGAAGATTCATCACCTGGGGTCAGCCACCATCACTAGCTTGTTACTGATAAATTGCAGGACTCATCACATGCACTTTAAACAGCTTTAAAGTTTGTTCTCTTTCAGAAAAGCAACAATCTGCTTTCAGTCATGCTTGACCTCACTGTTACAAAATTCATTTAACATATTCCACTGTGAATGATGCTTATGATGTAATTTCTGGGAAGAAAGTAGATAAAATCAAATATAAGTAGTTCACCAAAGCAAGACTTGTTGACTTATCCTTTGCTAGCTTTCTCAGCCAACATCAGTCAACTTCTATTTCCCGGGCTAGTTTTAAAACATAGGGCTTCCTTTCAATACCACTCTTGAGGAAAAAACAAGTTTACCAGCTCTCGAGGTAGAAAGGCCTCCTCCTGACGAGCTACGATCAGACAGACAGTTTCCCCTTGCTTTGTGCTCCTCAGCATAGCTACAAGCTCTTCCTGTGTCCTGCCAGTGATGTCCCGTCCATTCACCTGCCAGACACAAAAGAGGATACCACAACTGTATGTATTTTTTTTTAAAATCATTTTCTCCCCATCTAATGCAGGTGCATTTGTTGACTGAGAGCAAATAATTAGCAATAGCTCTATCACTGTCTCTCCCGACCCTGCAGAAGTTACTTAACCTTTTTTTCTCATTTTTACCATCTGTTAAAGCAGGTCTGTGGTACTTACCCACCTTGCAGGGGGTTTGTGAGGCTTAATTAGTTTCTAAAGCACTTTGAAGATGAAAAGTACAAAAACAAGACCTAAGTATTATTAAAACTGTTTACCTTAAGAGCTTTTTGAGGTTACTAAGTAGAAATAATCCATTAGATAATGAAATTGTAAGTCACAATCTATCTGAAAATTTTAAAAGTCCAATTTGAGCAAAATTGCTTTAAAATGAGCACTTTACCACCTCAATATTAATCAGATTTTGGACATGTCTGAAGAGACAATATATGCTTTTTTTCTAAACTGATGTATTTACCTGATTGAAGAACCTGTGAGTTAGATTTCCCTTATACTACTGTTCCATGGACCCCCGTACACATCAACTTTTTCTAAATTGTAGTATAGAAAACTTGTTGACAAATAGGACAAAAGCCTTGATACATTTTATCAACATCAACAATTTCAATTCCGTACATCAGTAGTACGTACAGAAAATAGAGCATGTCTGTTAAAACCAAAGAATCATAAAATTCATAGAATCACAGAACCATAGAAAACCAGAGATCAAGATACATCAACGGAAGTAAAATGAACGTTTATCCTAACCTCCAGGATCCTGTCGCCTGACTGCAAACGACCATCTTTTACTGCTGCGCCTTTTGGTAAAATATTCTTCACAAAAATAGGACCAGGACCATGTACTGAAGAGTCCCTGGTAACCACAGTGAAACCAAGTCCCTCAGGACCTAGGAGGTCAGACAAAGAATTCCCAGCATAAGTTATAACAACCAAATAATGATCATGAAAATAAGTAATCAATGTCAGTAATGTATCACAGGTGCTCATTTGAGTTAGCTCTTAAAAAAGCAAAAGTAAACAAAAAGCTGTAAACATGAACCTATTATCTGCACAGAAGAATTTTATTAATGTCAGAACATACATGCTTAAATCCTCTGGCAACAACTACAGATGGAAATGCTTTTGGATAACCCACAATAATACGGGACAAACCAGAACTCTCATTTTAAAAAGCATACCTTTTCTGTAAGTGGTTTTATTGTCACCTTGCACATTAGTGTCAATAGTCATTCCAATAATTCAAGAGCAATTAGAATTTCTTACTTATAAGCATAAATATAATTTAGCAGGGCTTTACTGAAAGTTAGTGAAAAACAGAAAATGTCACATGGTTTGCATGTGAAAGCTGCTGACTGTATGCTGTTAAGAAAAGACAAGTGTTTTAAAGCTGCCTTTAGTAAAGGCATTTTGTACTTGGAAATAAACAACCTCAAGTGTTAATAGATAACTGTTATTTATTAATAAATAATTATGTTGTAAAGTCTATATTAAGAATTATTGATTAAAGGTCACTAAAATCACCCAAGAATAGCAGGGTCCATAAAGATCTTTCTTTCAGTGAGAGTATTTGCTACCTATGTAGACTAGTATTCAGATATGTCAGTATCACATTCCTATCATTTCTAAAAATAAAAATTGTAATTCCAAAATCAAAAACATTGCATCTAGAACAGTAAAAATTCTGAAGTAGGTTTTAGAAACATAAAGCTAAAAAGTTCGGAAGGAAACATGAGTTATTTAAGTTAAAAAATAGCAAAAATTAAGAAATGACAGCTTGATTACATTCATTATGTGTTAAAAGAATAAAGTTACAATTTTTAAAAAGGTCACTTCTAGCATCAAATTTAACTCCCAGACAAATCAGAGACAGAAATTAAACAGAAAATGTAAATGCTAATTGGGATCTGCTTAAGCACACTTTACTGGATTGCATAAACCTGCTGTTCCATGCAAAGACAGACATCTGCATGGAGTAGCAATTAAGAACATGCACACAAAAACCGGGATACTGATAGCAAGAAAAAAAAAAAAAACAGATAAAAAGATACAGTTTGCAGAAAATAAGAAGGAGAAAGACAAAATTTATAATCAACATGAAACAGAGCAGAGTATTTTGTAAATGTATTTCACAAATATCCTAACTACTGGTCTATTAGCAGATATGAATAAAAAGTAATGAATATCAGTAGCAGAATGTTCAAATGCCTGTCTTGGGAAAAGGCTGAACAACTACTTCATGTCACATGATGTTAATCAAACACCTTCCACATAACCTGTGAGTTCAGATAATGCTTCTAAAATTTATAGGAAAGCTGACCACTGAGAACATTACTGTTAACATTCTTCTACCTTTTGGAACTTTGAAACCAAAAATAACTTGCTTGTACATTCAACGTCACCAGTTCAGTTAAAAGCTGAAGTATCAATGCTACAGAAAAAAACATCTCCAAAGATTTACCTTTTTTCAGGTCTATCTTTATTTTCTTTGCATTTTTTTTATTGCCAAAGCCCATAAGGGGAGACAGTGAGGGTGAAGATGGTTTTCTACCCAGACGTGGGAGGTTGGGGCTCTTAGCTTGTAGCGTTGCCTGTACACCAGCATCCAAGCTGCCTGCTCCAGAAAGGTTAATTGTTTTCAGAGTAGGTTTCGGATGAACGGGAGGTGGAATCTTTGTTTTTGGAACTTCTTCATCATTATGCAGAAAACAAAGGGGAGCAATAGCAGACTTCTCGTATTGTTCTCGATTATAAGGAGGAAGGACTTCCAAAATGACATTTTGAAATTTCATTGCCTGGCGGAAGATGTCCTGAGCCCTTTAAAAGAAAGACATGAAAATTCACATAGCAAACCAGAAAATAAGGGCAATGTTTGAAGTTGTTTACAGAGAAAAAGACAAAAATGTATCTTAAATGTGGGCAAATAACATTACCTTCATATCTGCACAATCTCTTTTCTAAAAAGCAAGCATGAAATAAGACTTCTATACCATAACATTTCCTTAAGTTTCAAGTAGGCATATCACATCACATAGGATTCCTATGGTGCTAAAAACACATCAGAGTATAAAGTAATATAATTCTCCATGCAGAACACCAGGCAGTGGAGTTCTGATGGCAGAAACTCATCAAAAGTTTGCTATATGCTTGATGGCCCACAGCCACAAAGGTCACTTTGCTCTCATGAATACATCTATCCTAATGAAGCTCAAGACTCCAGTTACTCTACCAGAGAGTAACTGCCCCTCAAATTCCTCCATCATCTGCTGTCTGACTCAACAGCAATTTAAAAAAAAAAAAGGGAGTATGGAAAGCATGGACGTGTTCAGAAGAAACATGGTGACTATAAATGGTGCAATAAAAAAAATGGTGGCATGTGATACACAAATATCAGAAGAAACATGACGACTGCTAAATGAGCAATCATTTGTGCATTTCTACATAAATGAGCAAGTAGATGCCACTCACACTTTTCAAGCAGTAACTTCTTGTAAATGTGGATACTTGGACTTAATCAATGGCTTTATAGGTGTGCATAAGTATAGGACCAGGAACTGTGTTAGAGTATTTCATGAAACTGCTCCTCTTGACCTGATGTATGGTAACAATACAATTTTGGACTACTCATTCATTGCAAGGCAATTAAGACACAGCTTGGCCATAACAACTGCTCATACACAGTCTCCCCTGGATTTTGAACAACCCATAGACTCTGTCAACCAAGACATTCTGTGAACACTGGATTCTAAAGGAACAAAGGAGATTTCTTTCTATGCTTTCCTTTCCCATTTTCTAAGGGTTTAACTGAAGCAAACTGAGAGAGTCTTTCCACACTGCAGAAGACAACTCAAATGCAAATACAAACAGTAGCTGAAGCATTTTCTGGGAAAGAAAAAAACCTGTTTTGAGGGGATTTTGTTTTTGGCAACATGAAGACACAGAAGTCACATGAAATCTCCAAGAAAACAATCAATACATAGAAAATAGATAAAATAGAGAAAATAGATAGAAAAACCTTGACTACACTGAATGTACATGCAACAGTTGTCAGAATAATTGTATTCACTGACAGGAGACAATGCCAGAAGAGAAACATCAAGCACGGAGAAGAAAGGTAGCAGGAAGAGTGTTGTGGGAAGGTATTCTATCAGATTCACTCTTGAGAATTAGATGTCAACAAAACTCTAACTGCACTACCCCTGTGTGTCTGCAGGGATTACAGGTTTCCAAGGACAGACCTTAAACTGATCTTAAAAATCACTGCATGCTCACATCACAAGGATGCGAAGTCTTTAACTGGGTTTCTCTTGGTCCTCATCTTCATCCTTGCAAGCATCTGCTTGGCCACATTGTTGGAAAGTAATTTAATAATTCAGTTTCAGCGGATGAATATTTTAAATATATGAAAGAGAAAATGTAAGATGTCTTACAAGCAAAAAAAATAGTAGAAATAACACAAGCCATCCTTTGGGAAAGCCTAAATGCAGTCTTCAGGGGCAAAATAACTAGCTGTACTTCAAAGAGAAAGAATAATGGATGGATAAATTTACATTTCTGGAGACCCCAAACACACACTTTAAAGAAATAAGGGAGTCAATTAGAAGAGGTGCTAGAAGCTCTGCAACACAACAGAATGCAATTAAATAGATTAAGCAAATGAAAAAGCAGACCAATAGTTCTAATACACAAAAATATCATAAACATGGGAATATAGGAAGCAGGCTGTTGCTATGACGGCTGTAGAAGCAGCAATCATCAGGAGCAATACTGTAAAGCCACTGCTGAAAATGGAAGGAGACAGTACGTAACAAACTCCATTGAAGGTTAAAAGAGCTTTTACAAAGATTATGAAGAACTGCCAGATCAAAAGTAGCAAACAGATTTTCCTCTCAAAGAAGAATCTGATGAGCCTTTCTAGGTCAGTAGTCATCAGGATAACACTACTTCATACTCACTGGAATTGCTGCAACTTGGACTTCTGTCAGGTTAGTAGAACTACGTCATGCCATATAAAAATCAAAAGGCATACTCATGGGATTAATTTCAGTCTAGAAAGGTTCTTTTTCTCTAGTCATTAGCAGCAGTCAAAGAACAGAAAGGATGTAGAAGGCCGTTCTGGAAGGAGTACAATAGGCCATGGGACATAGAGGTTACAGCTTGTCCAAAGTTTTCTCCCCAGCTCTCAAATGAACATACTGCAGATGCAGTCCTCAATACCCACATTTTTTTTCTCTGATCCAAGACCACTGCTGACCACACTACTTTTCATTATAACATATGCTCCTCAGGAGGGTGACTGATTGGACTTTTAGTCACTTCTGCTCTCCTGATGACAAAGATTGTCTAAGACAACTGGTTTCTCTGTTCACATAAATAACCCCTCCAACTCCCACAATCTTTCACAAACGTGGAGAAAGAGAGTGTTCTGCATTTCTCATTTTGAAGGGAAACCTGACAGAGAATTGGAAATTTTGCTGCAGTATTTCCAAGTGTTCCAAAATAGAGTAACCTTATGGAAAAAACACAGAGTCCTCAGACCTGAATACATCTTTTATGCTTTGAATGTCTTTGGAAAACTAGTTAAATTCTGAAGAGAATACAAAGGAGACAAGTATGTAAACAAATATACAATTTTGAAAAAGGGAGATTTTGTTCAGGGAGTCTCATTTGAGACTCTTTATTACAAAACTGCACAGATAAAGCAATCATATTTTCACATTTAAATTTTGAGAATCATAGTAATTTAGGCAGAAATTCTCCACCTCGGCTGTAAGAGAATAGCATATACAGTATTACATCAGGATGTTTTTATCACCAGTCATTCAGAAAGCAGTTACCTGGAAAACCTGTTAGGAGGAAAAATGCAAAGCCACAGAAACACCTACTACCAACTATGCTAGTTTTATCAAAGCCTATTTTGCAAATACTTACCCTTAAAAACAAAATCACATGTTTGATTTTAGTCTAGATACCTTGAATGTTCAGCTTACTGTTCAGAAAGTTAAGCCTCAACTACTTTGAGATCTCAATAGGTTTTTGTTATATCATAAACAAACACTCAGCTGTCTAAACATATGGATTAGAAGATAAAAACAAATTACTATTTAATTACTACAGCAAATATCTGAAATTTGAGAGGCTAGTCTTTCTTGCAACAATGTCACTAACTCACAGCCAATCAAAGCAACTTGTTACGTAAAGTAATTTGAGATGAATAGTAAATGTCAACAGATTTTCAATAAAAGTCATAAAACGGTGAGATTTAACCATAAACCTCAACCAATCAGTTTGACAGTACTAGCATTTCTAAAAACCTAAATGCTGAAAAAGACACAGCACCAGAAAAATCTCATCACCTTTGCAAAAGAACATTGAAAAACATTCTGCAAAGTTGATTCATTCTGAAGTTCCTTGAAGAATAAATTACAAAGAAAATACACAACAACAGAAGAATTAGAAAGCGAAGATAACTATAAAGAAAAACAACAACCCTTGAAGTCATTTAAATTAAGTAAGCAGAATAAGTTCACAAAGGCTACAAGAAAATTCTTGTCCTCAATTTCCACCTTTTTTTTGAGGGTGTTTCTGCCAAATCACAATTGTATAGTCATTATATTCAAAATAAATATAAATTTGCATGAACCATTTCAATAAACTCAGCATTGTATAAAATCCCCGTTAGCTAGAAATATCAGTAAAACAGCACTCACTGTGCAAATGTTTTATCTATGAGGTCCACATTGTTGATCTTCACAATGCATTCATTCTCATGGAAAAGCCCATCACGCCTAGATCTACTATTTTCTTCAATACCACGGATAAAAAGTCCCAGCATCCTAAATGGAGGGGGGAAAAAAAACCTATCCTTATTCTGCTGATATTATTTTAGAGCAATCAAATACACATATTAATCTTCACTTGAGATATGACTTGAGATAGAGAAGACCACAATGAATTGCTTAACCTAAAGAAAGGATTTTCCATTCTTGCTTCAATTCACAGGAGACTGTAAGACGCGCCAATAAAAATGGTTGGACATTAATGCTATCCTATTTTGAAGCTAGAACTTCAAAAAGCATTAAATCCTGCAAGTCATACTTGGATATATGGAAGAAAACCCTGCAATCTCTACATCTAGATAAACAGTTATTTGTACTTTATGCAACACAGGTCTGTCACCAAGATTAAACTGCTCCAAAAAAAAAAGCACAAACAGTTTAAAATGTATTGTTCTAACTAGACTTCAGCAAAATAAACTGGCAGTAGGATAAAACAAGAAAAGTTTCCATGTTTGGAAAGTCTCCAGTTCCCAAAGCCTGCTATTTTGATACATGACAGCAAAACCATTTATGTATCTCGCAGATCAAAATCTAAGTATGTTTGCTTGTTTTTTGTTTACTATGTTCCTCACAAATTGAAAACTGGAGAATACCACAGATGTGTTAAGTGAAGAAGCATAGCTGGAGCATGACTGTGGCGGGGCTAACTTCTGGCAGGGCTGAACTATTCTTGATTTACCTGGAGCATCTCTGTATTGCAAACACAACTCAATGTAGATATATCAAATGATACCAGTATGATGTCCTAATAACCCAACAGCTGCATGTTCACCAAGATCTTTTATCATCCAGTTTTATCCACTAAATTGCCATACCATATCAGCATATCAGACAGATGGTCTGGAGAGGCCATTTTCTATTGGTTATACTCCATAAAATATTGATGTGCAATTTCCAACTTTGCCAGCACTCACATCACAAAACAGAAGTCTTGTATTTTTTCTCAGATTCATAACTATCTCATATTCAATTTCATTCAAAAGATTCACAGCAAGTTATTTTAAATGATATAATATTCATTGTGCATCTGATGTTAAACCTAGAAAGATTAAAATTGATATTTATGTCTAAAGAAATATACTCTAAATGTAAACTTGGTTCCAACTGAACAGATTGTTTTGAAACATCTCACAGAAAAGACCCAACATATCAAGGTTCTCTTGTAGCCTGTGTTACATTCTTCAACAAAGGATTCAAAGGGCAAATGGTGCGGAAGGGTCATAGCCCTACCAGTGACGAACATCCAACCAGCTGCACTCAAAAAACTAAGTACCAACAAATAACTCAACGCAAATATGTTAAGATAGAAACCAAAAGAAGTAGGGAAATTAAAGACATTATAAATTAAGTCGGTTGCTATGATCTTCACTAATCCTATCATGCCTAGATGCTCTGTGTAACACTATAGGTTTTCCCACTTGTCTGAAACCTATTGTATGCACTATGGAATCTGACTGAGTGGCTTGAGTTACGTATGGAGTAATGAATTTAAGCTGCCTTACCATTACCTATTTCATACAGTCTCAATTTTAGTACTGTTTTAATGCACTATTAAACTTTAATTTTCTTTTTTAACGATATCTAAGTGCAGAAGAAAGGAGAAAAATAATTCCAGTGGTTTTCTAATTCCTATATAAGGGTTCATAAACTAATAAGATGTTTTAACTACACATAGAAAAATTTTGCTCTGCAGCATACTAGGTCTGAAGTCAGCATTACCTTATTAGTAGTTAACTGTTTACAACTGAAATACCAGACCAAGTTAGTCATGGTTGACATGCCCCCATAAATTGCACCTCGTCATTAACAGAAATAAAAGATGCTCTTCTGTACTTTCTCATCTTTCATGAGTTAAAATTTATACACTAGTCTCATGCCTGATTAAATAAAAGGGGTAAGTGATTCAAGTAACCCAGCACTCTTACAAAGTTATCAGTATGGTTCTGCCAAGGGTCATTACAATTTCAAGACAACTGTCTAAACAAGTAGGTCATCTGTCTAAAGAAAAGAACAAAAACCCTTGTTCTCAGAGATCCTCAAAAATGTCTGTAAATAAAGACAAAATAACAAGCACAAAATGTAGGCAAAATAACTCCACTTTTTCATCATGGAGGTCTTTAAAAGATGCACCCAAAACACCAAGACTTCAGTACAGTTCACTGTAGTACACTTGCAATAATTACTGATTTTAACAGCATGTAATTTTACCACATTTTCTATCTAAGAATCTTGCATACAGTGTATATAATACAACATTCAAGGTATGTCTAAACCAAAGAACTACTGTCTGCGTTTCATGATGGGTTACGAATACCAGCGCCTTGCTCAAAACAAGCAGGCAGCCTCAAAGCCAGGTATGCAGCTCAGGCCTCCTTCAATCCCCATGGCACAGCAACTTTGTTCTCAAAACACTGACAACATTTTTCCAGCAGCAGGTGGTCATTTACTTCCCCCTTTGGAAAATAAATATTTTGAATGAATTTGGTCTTGCTAACAACCTGGGATGCTGCTGAGAAAGTATTTACAGGCACAAACTTTTACAAGGCAATTTAATCTTTCACATTCTCTGTCCTACATGAAAGTTGACAACTAAAGAAACATTTAAGGATTAGAAAATTTTTACTTTAGTAATAATTGGCTTTGTGTTACAGGCAGTCACATTACTATAAAATGGTGTCATTTATGGCCCTGGCAATTTCCCATCTCTTGTTCAGGACTGCCAGTGTCAAATTAACTCCCTGGCTAAGCCTCTCTTTCATCCCAGAATTAGTTAGGTTTATTTATTTATTTATGACATTCCAGTTACATAGCTTGGAAAACAGTTATAATAAAAATGCTGACACAGTCTTAACTACAGTACATCAATATGAGCAAGCTGCTATAATAGGCTTTTGTGATCTCAAGAGAATATGTTAAATCATTTATAATTAAAGTAATTGTATTGTGACAAAGAAAAGTTCACAGTTATAGTACACATTCTATAAATGCTATACAACCAAATCTGAAAGGTGGCTTAGAAAAAAAAACAGGATATTTTATTTATCGATTGATTTTCTTGTCTGATAAGTCCTTAAGGAAGGGCCTATGCAGAGAACTCCAGTTGAATCAAAAAACTTAAAATAAAATAAAAAGCAAATAAATAGAAAATAAAGCCAACTGTAACATCTTAGGATGACGATAGAGTTAGAATTTCTAACTGTAGGAATTTCTTTTTCCTACAGTCTGCTAGGAAAACCAGAGGCAACTGAAAGGACAAATATGAACTAGTGAGCGGAACTGTCTCACATGTAACAGACTGGTGAGCATTTCAGTAATGGGAAACTGGGTTCATAGGCTTAATTATCAATTTTATTTTATTTTATTTTTTTTTACCCATTTATTCTTCTTTGTGGTTATACAGTACGTAGTTTAAGAGAACTGCAACTGAAATTCTTTCATTAATACACTTCTTGAGTGATGCAGATAATATCTTACCTTCCACTCAAAGATGAGAAAAAGGGCACTACGTGTATTCCCAAGGGTCCACCTTCCCCAGAAATCTCCACAGTTTTGGTCATTTCACTAAAAAAAAAAAAAAAAGAGCACAAAAACACACCTCATTTGCTTCTTCATAGAATTTTCTATTTCAAGAACACATTCTGCTCTAAAACAAATGATTTGATCAAATAGGTGAAAGTATAGAAACAATATTAAGCTCAGAACTCACTAGTACAGAGAAAATCTGATGACATTCAAAATAGCTAACAATTTCTTTAATTTAGGAGTTGGTACTCTGATAGGAAATGACATCATTACTAGATACCTTCTTAAGTGAATCCTTAAAAAATTAATTACAATATGCAAGAGTAAGCTTTGAAGTCTGAATAATCTTCATTCTATTTAAAACTAAAGGTTACTCTACGTGCTATAGAGAAAAGCAACTTTTTAAACTTATGTTTCTTTTGAGCCTCTTCAGTCAATTTCTCCATGTGGACACATTAAAAACAGGAAAATCACACTTTGAAGACATCAAAGAGATAAGCTGGTTAATTAAATTACAAGTATTTTGCTTTCTGCCTTCCATTGCATACAATGTCGCTGACATACAAAAAAAACCCAAACTGTAATCAGAAATGCAACTCAACTCATTTTTTCAGGAAGTTTCCTCCTTCAATCACCATTATCAATAACCTCTGTATTATCTCTGACAGTATAATTATTTTTTTTTAGCTGTTCATGGCTAGGTGCTGTTTCTTTTCCTATGGAGTATTATATCCTGCTGGCCTTGCAGTGACCTTAGTTCTATTCTGGGTGATCATAATTTGAAAAGGAAGGTACTTGAATTGGCTAGAACATCAAAAAAAGATCAGAAGGGGGCAAGTCATACATTCCAGTATGGAATTCCTACCTTCTGTGTTAGTCTACTTTTTCTGAAACACCTCCCTCCTCCTGAATCATACTGAACTCCACCGACATTCAGAATTAGGGGAGAGCTACTGGGTATTTTCTTTCACATTAGGAATACCCTGATCCTTTCAAGCTATAAAAAGCTGTGTTTATGCCTGTGTGCAAATTCTATAGTATTTGCAGTTCTTTAAACAATCATAAAATGACCACTTCATGTACTGTGCTGAGTTCAAGTAAATCTAACACAACATAGGCTGCTGAGGGAAAATGAGGGCTTCCAACATTTCTGCAAATATAACAGATCTACAGAGTGCACATTTCGCATGGAGGAAGATCACTGAGTCCTTCCTTCCCCCAACCCCATCATCTATGTTTTCCCAGGGGGGGGAGACACTTTCTGCAGGGATCATCTTAGAGAACCCACTGACCCATGGCCTTTGGATTCAAGGCAGGAATGAGCTGAAACACACAATTACAAGGGTGCTTGTCCTACCACTCTGAAAGAGACCTCCTAGCCACACCAGGTGAGATTCTACATAAAAGCAGCTGGTACAAGTTACATCTCTCAAGAAGGACAATAACTGCAAGCGATCGTATTCAAATTCTGCCACTGCTTTCTAATAACACAACATTTTCATTTTAAAAGCCTTTTTCCTGTTGTATGATGACTAATTACAAGCAACTTGCCCTTGGTACCATAATTCTTTTCTTGCTCGGATAAATAGGAAATGAGAAAATAAGCTAATACAGTTTTGAGGGTTTTTTGCAGTTTTTTTCTCCCAGAAAGCCCAACTGGAATGAATTTGTACTTCATAAAATTGAAATGTACACATCCTGAACAACAATCCACTACTGATCCCAAAATAAGGGACTTTCACATTAGTACAACACAGGCATTATCAAGATATATTGCTACCTGCTCGTTTTTTCTATCCCGTACTCCCTTCTCCTCATGAAATAAGCATGGAAATGCTGACAAAACCTTCCCATGAGGCTCTTTGGTTTGGTTTCACAAAATATTTTTATTTTCTCATGAAACTGTTCAGAAAAGCTAGAGTCCACTCAGGATGCTCCCCAAAACCACACATGTAGGAAGTTAACTATTTTTCCTGTTTAACCTGCTACTTTCACCAATTCTCTTAACAGACAAATACATATATACAAATAAAATGTTACCTGTATTATCCTTTGGACTTGTACAGAATCACAACATCCAAAGGAATTAAGCAACAAGTCCTCTGGGCCCAGAGGACCCAGAAAATAATCAACAGTAATGAACGGGTTTCCATTTGTACTGGGAAGATTTTAAATAAATGATGGCTGCCCCCAGATAACCCCGTGTTGCTCAAGGACTCCCGGGAAGTCATCTTCCCAAGCAGTGGTAAAGTAGAGCAGGAATTTTCTGAGGGCGATTATGACAGACAGGTTACCTGTCATCTCACATCAGTGCATTTACAGTTAAAAGTCAGCTCAAAGCCAAAGACAACATACAAGTTATTTTTAAATCTAACCAAATCTATTCAGTATGAAGAATGGGTTTCCTTTTGAAAACAAGTAGCCTGCAGGTAGATTGTGTATGACTTTTAAAAATAGTGACACATCCTACAAGTTATGCACTAAAGTGCTAAATATCCAGAACAAGAGCACACTACATGCAAATATAAAAGAGGTGTTTTCTGTTTTCAAGGGAAAAAAAAAAAAAAAAACTATGACTCCAATATATTTTTCATTCTCAAGTGTAATTCCTATTTACACCTGAAAACTTTACTACAAGGTGAATAGATCTTTGAGGACATACTGGTTTTATATTATACCTACAAAAGCCTGACTGTTAAAAAAAAATAAAAATAAAGCAGGATGGGTGGGATTGAGCTTTCTTGGTTAAGAACTTCAAAGATTAAAGACTCAGAAAAATCAGACCTCATCCTCTCCTGCTGACCATCTTCCAGCTGGTTTCATCTGCCCATGAGAACAGCTTAATTCCAGCAGCATACTGACCATGCCGGCTTATAGTTTAAACTATACTAGCAAGAGAATAGAACAATAAAAGGAGGAGTTAGTGAAATGCAGAGTAGGATGAGCTTTAAGCCTAAGGGTATCAATTCCTAAACTCCACAGGCATGAAGGACCCCAAGGTGATGGGTCCCTGAGTTCAACAGAGTCACGTTAAAAAACTGAAAGCAAGTGGTGAGGGAGAACACAGAATGGCATTCTGGTTTTGGTTAGCAGCTGCAATATTGATACCTGGAGATAATTTATGAATTTATTGCAATATTCACCATTTAAAAAACAAATTGATCTCTGAAAAGGAAAAGGTAATTTCCAAAAGCTAGTAATGTTCTTGTGATCTACTCCTATTTCAAATCTCCTTTCTCCATCCCACATGCATTCTACAACAAATGAAAATGCAGCTCTGACCTAACAGAAGTCAGAGTCCTGGAGCCCACTTGCTGGCTCGGCATGAGGCCAGCAGCACCAGCTCACAGGTTAGTGAGGCACACAGCGTGGCATCTTCTGCATACTCCCAGGGATCAGAGATTCTGCTCTAGAAAATACTGCAGCTTCTGCAAATGCATGCTGGTGCTCTGACCCCGTCTCTGGTCTCAGCCAGGAGACTGCCCCTGCCCAGTGCTGCTTCTGGCTGAGTCCACAGCCACAGCCAGTACTGCGCTATTGATTTTAAGCCCAAGGAAGCCACCACTGTTTACTATGTAAACTCTCCAGTGCTTGATGTTTATTGATTTCTGCCAGATTCTTTACAGACTATCACATTTGGCACGAAGATCTGCCAAGCATGTTATTAAAAATGCTGATGAGCGCAGTTTGAGAAGACGGAGAGGATGTATGTGCAAGCGCGTGGGTGCAGGGAGCATGCACAGCAGTCCATTTTGAACATGGAAAGCAAAATGTAAATAGAGTGCTGCATATTCAGTGGCCAATCAGTCTGATCTTCACATTGATAGTGACCTTGCTGTCAAGTATTACAGCTCTCTCCTGAACACTGCACCAGATGATATCAATTTGTCATACACAACAAGGAAAGCTTTGTAAGCTGAAGGCTCCTCTACAAACTATCCAATAATAGTGAAGAATGGATCTCATCCACCAAAAGTGCAGGTGCTTAGAAGGGACCTCACTCCATAAGTAAAAATTCTGAACCAGGATTTTGTCCGCTTTGACTTTCTTAAATTACCAATGCTGGGAGGATCTTGCTAGGATTTCCCTTGGAGAAAGCAGTAGATACAACCTACAACAGATGAACTGTTTTGCAACACACAGAAGGGAGCACTTTGGTAAAAGTTTATTTCAACACAGGGCAAAACTTGTCATCATGTGTAAGTAATTAGTTATCATTCCAATGACATATTCTTCTGCCATTTTAACCCTATTCAACACCTGCACTAAACTAGTTAACTCAGGCTCATGATGACAAAGCAACAAGCTTTGAATATAGCACTGAGTTTCGCATATGTTTTTAAGAATAGTTACAGTTAGCAAGCTGCTGTATTCAAAAAATACTAATTCTTAGTACAGGATGTCAGTGTGTCCCCTGCAAAGAGAGGAGGCATAGCTGATATTCCTAACGTGTTTTGTGGCATTTTTATTGACCAAAGCCAAGTAAGAGGCAAAGAAGTGTCATTCAGAAGCAGAGAGCTCACAGATGCAGTTACTGAGCTGCTTTTTCTCCGCTCATCCTCCACTTGTATCTACAGCCCCACTGGGTTCTGCCATTCCTGGGGAGGAGAGCGCCCAGGGAAAAGGGGCCACTCACATGTGGCAGGGAGCATCGTCTGTGGGTGATAGCAAGTTAGTAGATGCAATTTTAAAGACAAATCACACAGATTTAGCCTGATAAGGAGGGTGATGATTCTATCCATGTGCTTTTGCACATTAACAGACAGTTGCTGATGGTAATCATCTGCACCCATCCTTTCAGAGAAGCCAGCCCAACTAAGGCATCTGAATGCACATTCTCCTCCAACTTGCTACTCCTTTTTCATCTTTCCTTCCCCCTCATAAACCAGATGCTAGAACTTCTGATGAAAATTACTTGGAATCAGTAAAGAAACTGGAGCTGGAGATGCTAGTGTGAAATCACTCAAGGATAGATGAAAATCTGAGCAATATCCAAGAGGCGGTGGAGAGCACTCTGCAAGGAGAGGAGAAAGCCACTCAATGTGCAGAGTTCAGCACAGCCCAAGGAAGTTGCTCACTTGCCTCTAAGACGAGCACCTTTCAGTTGCTCCATTGCACGCAGAAATAAATTAGCAAGAAGTTAAAATATTTACTATGAAATAATGTTGTAATCTTCCAGTTTCAGGTTTGAAGTGGCAACTAATCATCACTTTGTATCCAAAATGTGTTAATTCTCACAAGATCAGCTGTCTGAAAATTTAGAGACAAACCAGACAGTCTGCAGGCACCAGGTTTTTCTTTTTCTTTTTTTTTCCTTTTTAAGTTGTTGCACTTCTGTGTTGTTAGACTACTGCAAGACACAGAAAGTGGCTTAAAGAAAGGAAAATATAGAGAAGTAACAAATACTGCTGTTACACTTTAATTATGTACCTACAGAACTTAAACCAAGGAACTAACTCTGACCTCTGCTGAAAAGCAACAAGACAGTAAAATAGAACTTAATGAAAACACATAAAGAATTATCAACGCATACATTACTCTCAGAGTTCCAGCTAATCCTCTGCTATTAAGCTAAACATTCACTTCCAAGCAGATTCATGTTTCCTCTTCCTTAACACAGTCATTTTTATTAAGACAAGCAAGGTTTCAGAAACAGTATTTCTATGTACAGCGTGCAATACATTTCTGTGTGATTTCTGTAGAGTACTGAGACCCTACTGTTACTTTATATACTTCTCAGTCTTCATTTAGAATTTGATGGGAAACAAGAAAAAATAAAATATTTTATGAACTGATTGTATAAACTTAGCTACTCTTATTGTGAGCATCATCTTTATTAACAAATACAAAATAATCACCAACAGAAATTAAAAGAGGATTGTCATTACTTCTGTCTTTATACATTCCACTAAAAATTGCCAATGACATGATATTTCAAGCCTTTTCTTCAGTGAAATTCAGCTCTCAGAAGGTGGAATTAAATTGTTCAGATTCCTGGAGGACACAGTCCTGAAAAAGTTCCTTGTACTTCCACAGTGAAACATTTTATAGAGAATTCAGGCAAAGAAACTTTCTTCCTATTAGTTTCTACATAGAGGAACTATAAGTCCTCCACACTGCCACTCATTTCATTTATCTGTGTGCAACTTCCTAATTTTACCTACCTAAAGCAATTAACTGAACTTCCTTCAAATGGAACAGTTTTCCTACTTGAGTGAGAATTACAAAACAATCCAGGTCTGAAGCCTTTCACTTCAACTGACTGGGTTTCACAATCATAAAATATTAATTATGAGGCTCTTTATTTTCCTTCCCTCTGAAATGCCTATTATTAGCCATAGTTAGAGAAGGGATGCTGACCTCAGACAGACTGTTGCTCTGACGAGAAGTCTCAGATAATTTTCTTTGGTGACTGGCTGCTGTTTTATTTAAGTGCTATAGGTCATAATGATCAAACTCCATGACAGGAAGGAATACTTTCTGGTGAAAGCAGCGGGGACAATAGTGGTTTTCTTCTCTTCCATAGCATGGAGCAGCCCTCAGGCTGAAATATTAGTTTCATTAACATCATTAAACATAACACGACTTATTTAAATAAAAGTTTATCGTATCATGACTTGGTGATCCCTCATGGCCCTAAAACCTTCAAAACATAACTAGCCAGACATCTCCGCAAATTAGAATAATAATTCTTTTTTTCCCAGAAAGAATAATGTAAAAAGAACCAAATCGGATATAAAGATGTTATATTATTTTTGTGGAAGTAAAATTTTATTATTTTATTATAAAAGTTTCTAAAACAGATAATTAGTTAAATTCAATCCAATTAAGATACCTGTAAGATAGACAGACAGCCTCCAGTGAGTGCTTCATTATTTTCTCTTTATAAAACAATTGCTACTAAAAAAAATACTTCTGAAAAAACAGCTTTAAAAAATAACTCTTCATTTCTCTACAGAAGAAGCTGTACAGAAACAAAATCGCTGCTTTAGCATTTATATTCTTTCACATTTGAAATGCCAGTAAATTTTACAGAAATGACAAGTGCACATATATATATATATTTTTTTAACAAAATAACGTTCTCTGAAATCCTCCTAAGCTCACTGTTTCTACAATATCTTACAAATACTTGAATATATTTAACAAGTCTTAGGCTGAAAAAAATCTTACTATCACCCTTCATGTCAGCAGGCAAAGCAGCATTTTGAGAAATCTGAATGTTCTCCTCTCAGGCCCATAGGATGCACAGCAAGTTATATTTTGGTACAGCTTGAAACACCTTCAAGGATGGGGCATCAACAGCACTTCTGGCAAACTGTTCCAGTGCCTCACCACCCTCTGAGTAAAAACTATTTTCTCTAAAACCTAACCTTCATTTCTCTCTTTTAGTTGAAAGGCATTCCCCCTTGTCCTATCACTATCAGACTGTAAAAAGTCACTCCCTCTTCCTGCTTATAAGCTCCCTTCAAGCACTGGACAGCTGCAACAAGGTCTCCCCAAAGCCTTCTCTTAAATATGAGTATAGTGCAGGTGTGGTTAGAATGAGAAGTCAGTTTTGTCTTGCATATAGATAAAGCATGCTGAAGTAAGCACTGCAGAAGATGTTCCTACCTTACAGGAAGACGGGCCCTCTGTGATGACAACAGTTCTGCAGGTCCTGCAAGGTTCATTTCCCCATCCTCAAAGGATACCTGGGGAGCACCCTGTTGAGAGATTTCAAAGCACATTTTGAAACTAAACACATGTATATGCATATAAAAGACTGGCAGTGTTTGTGTTTTTGAAACACTTGAAAGAGAAAGCAAGCCACTATTTATTCGCCTCACTGAGGGTGAGGACTGAAAAACCCATTATTTATGGAGTATACAAACAACACTCAAAGAAACAGTCCCACTGCATACTCCAGCATCCCACCAAGCTTTCACTGACTACCATTTAAATACGATGGAAGGCCTATCCCACTATTTGAGGAAGAAAGAAGAATAAGATCTTCTGCCAAGGTCCAGTATAATCAGTAGCTTTTCTACCTGCTTCTATCTTCATACAACCTACTGGGAGATTCAGAATCTTTCAATCCACTGTAAAGAGACAAAGTGATGGAACAAACTAGCCACCTAGACCTAAACAGGGCAGGCCATGGTATGCTTAGGCACCCTTCTTCAAAAAGCTGCTCCATACTTCTTGCTTTATGATGCCATAGCCAGAGCAGAGAGGGGAGGACAGATTGAAAGAGCTGTGGAGAACCCAAAGGTGTACAGGACAGGGAATAATTCAAGCTGAAGAGTAAAAGACATCATGAGTTCCACAAAGGTTGAACAGCTCCTAAAACTGCTCTCTCACTGCCAGTTCATCCTGAATTCTTTTCAACTCTGAGCCACCTTCTTGCTCATGATAGATACCCTAAGCCTCAAACTGCTCTTTCTATTCTTTTGTAGCATTACTATGGTAAAGACATTTTCACATTAGCTTCACAGAAGAAAAAATTAAGGAATCATTTGGCCAGACACAAAAATACATTGCACACAGGGACCTAACATTAATGCCAGCACTCTTTAAAACTATTAACTTTCTTTTCCTGATCCTCAGGTTATGTTTGCATTTTTTCCATGCTGGGAAAGGGAAAGAGGTACAAATGAGATAAGACCACTGTCAGCAGGTGATATATTAGCTTTAATGTACTGTATTTCATTGCAGCCTTCATGGCAATAATGTAAACAGCAAAATCTGTAACAAAGACCTTTTTTGGAGAGGTCACTTCTGCCAACTCTGCAACAGGAATATAGCTGGAAGACATAAATCTTCAGCTGTCAACACACTAAGGGAATTCAATTCAAAGCTTGATCTTAACTAGATAAAGCCAAAAGTTAATCATCATTTTTTTTTGTTGCTGCAGTAGTACAGGTTTTCACCGTATGTACTTGCCAAATCAGGTTGTGTCAAGGCAAAGAGTAGCAACATTGTAAATTAATTCCAAAGAACAAAATCAACTAGGTAGGTAATTTCATTTTCAACAAAAGTTTTACAATGTATATTAAAGCTTCCATTTTTTCCTCAAAAAGATGGCTCTACCCATAAAGATGGCTTTCCAGGTTTGCCATTTGCAATCCCCCCAAGATCTGAAGAACTTATTTTCAGCTTAGTAAGTAGCAAGAGAGCTGCAGGGGTGAGGGGACTGCTTTGTGCTTTAAAGAGAACCACGATGAGTCTTCTAAGCAAACTTTTGGAATATAAATCAAAAGTTGGTTCCACCCAATTCTCCCCCTCCCCTTTGATCACACACCACCAAGTTTTGAACCTATTATGAACTGGCAGCAGATCTTTCTGCACGTTAATCAGAGCACAAGCCAACAGATTTGGCTTCCACTGCAAAGCCAGTACAGCTCACTGAAAGCAACGTCTGTCACTAATGAAAAAACTATTTGAAGAAACGTGTACTGAGTTTATGCTATCTCTTCCAATCCCTCTTCACAGTGGAACCACGTGTCAATGAGCAGTTTTTGTTCTATGAAGCATATTCCACACTAACCCCCATACATCAGGAACTCAGCCTCAAGCAGCAAGTTAGCAACAGAAATCTGACACACAGCTTTCACGAGCTGACTTCATTTTGAAAAAAGACAGAGCCTTGGTAGCAACAGATGTCAGAAGGAGACAACTCTCATTAACCAGAGAGCTCCCAAAGCTAACCTTTTTTAGCTAACCAGAGAAAACACTGGCGCTGCAAAAGGGTCTTCATTTTGGAAGGCTGAAAATAGCCAAACCATGAGCAGATTTTTGGGTGGTGAATTAACCTGCCCCCTTTTTTCTTCCAGACATTGGCTGCAACACAGCACTGCTCAATGCATGACCAAGAACTTGCTGCTCATGGCTCCAAACAGTTTTGCTATTTAAAGCTTTGCTTGCAGACTGCTCAAATCTGTGTATGCTACATTACTTTTCTGTCTTTTGGCTTTGGGGTTACTATTATTTTTTGCTGTAGTGAGGTTACATCCATACTTGTCCTTCCCCTCTTCCTTGAGTAACTGAGATTTCACAGTAGTGACAAATTCAGATATAGCAGAACATGATCTCATCTCATGTTTCTGCTGACTGATTCACAGTTTTTTAAGCCACAAGGGACCATTTTTGATCAACAAGTCTAATGTCATTCTTGGAATTAGATTTGTTTAGTCACACAGCACAACGTTGGCTGTGACACCACTGATAAGCAAACGGTTCTCACACAAAGATGGCAACTGCTCTCTTTTCTACTAAAGGTAGAAGAAGCAAAAGATGTCAGGAAGCTAAAAAAAAAAAAAAAAAAGTTGGTACAAATATTAGAGGTATCATACCTCCAGGAGAGATCTTCAAGGACAGATTTAAAAACGCGTCAGGAATGTTTCAGGGCATGTTCATTCCCGTGTCAGAATAAATGGTCCAACTTTGTGAGGTGCCTGACAGCCCCACACCTCCAAGGTAAAACTTCAGCAAGGAATTCAGAGTTTGGAGTCCATAGCTTCAACTACAGCTTTTTAAAAATTCATTCCAGGGTAAACACTCCTACAGAAGAATTTTTCCACTGCTAAGCTGGACCCCAGAGTGTTTATAGACTTCAGAAATACCATGGAAAGTGTTCAGTGTCACAGCCTCCTGCTTTGATTTGAAGGTAAGTGCTCACATATTACAGATCATGGCATGTTAAAAATCAGTAAACATAGCCAAATAAATTTGAAGTCTTAAATGATCGACGAAACATGAATCATAATAGTGATTCATTACAGAGCTCTCCAAGAGCGACAGAGCTCCAGTCACATACTGATCACTACAAATGGACAAATTCCTTTCATACTTCAGCATTCCATTAGAGCCACAGTATATTTAAACACATTGTCTCCTGCACAACTGGCTGAAAGACAGCAAGCCAGTGATGCACAAGTAAAGGCACTGTTAGAAGACGATGATCCAATACCCAAAATTCTCAATCTTTATCGTTTAACAAAGACTGGCTATCAGCTTTTCAATAGTTGCAGAACTAACGACACCGACTCCCAAAACGTCACTCAAATTCAGCACCTGTGTAATACAACGGGATTGCGTTTTCAGTGAGGCAATAGGAATAAATGCAAAATACTGCAGCTAAAACAATAGGCAAGAATGCAGATGCATCTAATAACAGTGGAATTGATTTTTTTTAATTTATTTACATAGGTATAGTTTTAATTAAGCTATTTGTCTTAATGCAGCAAAAAGCATGTTTTTCAAATTAGAACTGAAGCAGCAGAGCAGGATCACATAAGATAATACTCTCTGCCAACAACTATATAACTTAGAAAATTCTCATATTCATTACACGGCAGTTCTTGAGTTAGATAAACATGTATGTGTAGCAGTAAGAGCAACCATACACACCAGTAACTTTTACCCTGTGGACATGCACTGTATTCCCAATTTAACAGTCAGCATGAACAGCAAATATGCTGGAATCAGTTGTTTGTCGTACTGAGGTTAGATTGTATTCAAGGTGTTCCCCTGTTTGTTTCTTTCATTTTTGAAAATGCTCCAATTATATAAAAACTACTGAACCTGTTGGAACCTATCAGCTTCAAGAAAGTGAGAGAGACACTTTTAGTACAGCTTTCATAGGAAGGGATGGACAAAAGGAGCTGAGAGCCACCAGTCGCGCTGTGCCCGGCCACTTCTTCACTTTCTGGCTATTGTTGCTACTGAGAAACTGTGCATTTCCACGTTTTAAAATCTCAGCACAGCAGCAGTATCCCAGCTCTACTCTGGTTGCGGTGTAGTTTTCCATTATCTTTCAGTTCTCTTATAGCAATATTTTGCATATGCAATCAAGGGTACACCACAATGCCCAGCCCAATGCAGCCGAGCTCTGGAAACAGCCAGCAAGCATAGAAGGGCCATTAATCATCTTGATTCTCCCTGATAGACTCCCACTGCTATTCTCAGGACAAGGAGCAGTTTTGGAGGTATAACAAAATTGCAGATACATCACTTTTAAGAAAGGTATGTAGCAAAAGCCAAAAACAAAGAAAACACATCCTTTTCTATTTCTTTTCTTATTAAACAATAACCAGCGTGAGACAAACCTCAGAAGTAGGTGGGAAGTTCAGAGAAAGAGTAACTCTGTGTAAACAACCAGAGAACATCCTGAGTGAGGGGTATTCTTGCCAGCATAAAGCAGTCATCAAACACCAACCGTACGCTTGAAGGAAATAAATAAGGTCTATTAATAAGAATTGTACATGGTCACCACTCAAAACGTGGCATATCCCAAAGGAAAACATTTTTATGTGAAACTTTATTTTAATGGCCAAGTTAGAAGTGACGCCGCTGTAGAACTGAGGCCAGCTGCTGGCTGCCCATCCCCAACACAAAGGGAGGGCAGGCAGACCTGGTGGGTCAGAGCTCACAGCCTTCACCTCCCTCCAGGAGGGCCAGCAGGAGGTCAGCCCCACAAACTGCCAGCTGCGAGGAAACTGGGGGGTGACAGGGATGCTTGCTTACAAATGCAGGAAATGTCTCATACATTGCTCCCACAACACACATCTTCAATTACTGCCTTTAAAAATCGAACGTTTTTAGCAGCACTTTCAGGATCACGTGAACATTTCTGACAGCCAGAATGAGTTTACAAAGTCTTTGTGCTATTTTTAGCTTAAAAAAAAAAATCAGCATTTTCATAAATATTCCCAAACTTATTAGG